ATGCATGTAAAGGCAGGACTCAAGGTTAAAGTGGAACCAAGATCTCAGAGAAAAAAATCTAAAAAGAATTGCTTCTCATTAGCTTCAGACTCATTTTAAATATGAGCCCAAGAAAAAAAGAAAACCAAGTGTGGGAATAAGTATTTCCACCTAGAAGACACACTCAGATTAAATGGGTTACCTATAACCACTGGGTATGTTTAAAAGTGTATGACTCCCCTTAATTAGCTATGCCCTATGTTAAAATATCATCATGTACCCTAAGAGACAGTGGCCATTCATCTAAGTAGTTGCCTTAATTCTGTCATCAGTCCTCCTAACAAAGTTGTCTAGGTCTAGCTCTCCACATCTCCATCTATTAACTCTCAGTGAAGACCTTTACAAGTTCCAGTTCTTTCTGGAGTGGCTAAGGCAAGGATTTAAATAACATTACTTATCTATCACTTAGTCTTTAAATATAATTGCTAATTAAAATCAGTTATAATATAAAGACAATATTATTTTAGATGTCATATATTTGAGTTATTCTAAACTTAAGTTATATCCTAAACTGTATTTGTTTGAATTCCTTTTAATATTCAAAATATTCTTATAAATAGAAGACACTGGTCAATTCTTGAATTTTAAACAATTTCTCCTTTTGATTGTTACCTGCGAAGATTAATTAGTGAACCTCAAATATTTTTACAGATATCAAGAATGCCTTTATTCTTCAAGATCCAAAACATGAATGGATTTGTGCCACAGAAGCTGAAGATGACAAGTTCCTATGGTTGTCAGTTCTCCTAAATGCAATAAAAAGTACCATGGAGAAGTGAGACTGGACTTTAAGAAAACATCAGGGCTGCCAATTCTCCTGGCAAAGATAGACATGTATTTTTTGTCCCATGCGAGGACGGTCCATAAGTTTCCTCCTATCTTTTAAACTTTATCATCTGTGTTCAAGTATGTGAAATGCACAGTAAGTTGAGTCCAACATTTTGAACCACCTCTTTTGGTAGTTATTTTTCATGGACACTATTAAATAGCGTTACCTAACTGACAAAACCTACGACAGAACAAGCATATTGTATATTTAAAGTTTTCTTTTATGATCTAGTAAAAAAATAAAATCAGAATGAAGTTTCTTAAATCATCAGACTGGGCCAGCCGTGGGCAAACTACGGCCTGCGGGCCGGATCCGGCCCGTTTGAAATGAATAAAACTAAAAAAAAAAAGACCGTACCCTTTTATGTAATGATGTTTACTTTGAATTTATATTAGTTCACACAAACACTCCATCCATGCTTTTGTTCGGCCCTCCGGCCCAGTTTAAGAACCCATTGTGGCCCTGAGTCAAAAAGTTTGCCCACCCCTGGTCTAGGCCGTGGTCGGCAAACTGCGGCTCGCGAGCCACATGTGGCTCATTGGTCCCTTGAGTGTGGCTCTTCCTAAGCCTTAGGAGTACCCTAATTAAGTTAATAACAATGTACCTACCTATATAGTTTAAGTTAAAAAAATTTGGCTCTCAAAAGAAATTTCAATCGTTGTACTGTTGATATTTGGCTCTGTTGACTAATGAGTTTGCCGATCACTGATCTAGAGAAATATTTCAATTTGTTGGTGATTTATCAATCATCTTTAACATTTTCATGCATTATTAATTTAAAAATATGTATAGGAAATATAAATGGCAATTCACTCAGTAACTTGTCACATATATCCTTAATATGAATGTAATCTTCCAGAGAGCATTAAAAATATACCACTACAAAGTACTAAAAAGTTTTCTGTAATTTTTAAGTGTTCTTTGATTGCTAAATAAAATTCTTAGATCTTCCAAATAAAAAGCTTTAACATTTGGTGACATTATTACATTGAAAAGCTGCTGGAAAAAAACAACAACACTTTTAAAAAAAGAAAAATAAATGGAAGCCTACCAAAACTTACCTGTAATGGAATTTAGTTGAATAAAAATAAGGAAATGAAGACAAGTCTATTTCAAAACAGAGAAACAGCAAAGTAGGTGTTGAGCAGTTTTCTGGGCCGTTCTTTAAAGTCTTCATTTATGTATTTAAAAAACTGAAGCCATAACCTTTTAGGTACTTGGAAACTTTAGCTGATATATGTAGTAAAAATATTTTTATTTAGTTAATGGTAGATAAAAGGTATATTAATCTAGGAAGCTTTTGGTTGTCAGCTTCCTTTTAGTTTCATATTCTCCTGTAAGGTAATAAAATCTATTAGTACACTAAAGGATTGTGAAATAGGCTATTTGAAACATTTTCTTTTTTTCAACAATGAAAATATAAATTTACTCAAATTATTAAAAATTTAAATTCTTGTTAAAAATTGTATAAAACTTCGAAAGTTTCATTAGTGTAAAACCACACTTTTGATTCAGTTATGATATATCCATGCAGCTTACTATGTATGATCTCACAGACAGAATAAACCATTAAAGGGAACATCTGCCATTAGTCAGCAGTGAATATAAATTTACAAATTTGACCAAATGTATATATATATCATGTGGTCTGAAACAAATCCTAAGACAGTAAATCATCCTAAATAGAGCACACTTCAGAAACTCCGTTAATAGGAAAAACCTGTCTACATGGCAAAAGAGTGACAAGACAGCTGAAGATAAACTAGAAATCCTAAGATATTTCTATTTATTTTGTGAATAATTAATGTCCTCAGAAGTTTTAAAACATATTACTTGAAAATAATCTCTGTAGAGACTGATGAGTATAAGCTTTTAATTGAGAGTTAAGTGTATAAGTCATGCAAAAAGCAGTGATGTTTGCAAGTGGATGGTACTTAGGTTGTCTGTGAAAGTTCAACACTTTCTCTTCAACTTTTAGGGTATCTACTTACATAAAAACCCTGGGTGTAACATCACGGCCAGATGCGTGACCAACTGGAAGGAAGTCAGTCCTGCAGGGGTTGTCTTGGAAACGGCTGGGCCCTCCCCCAGCTGTTTCCTGGAGGGTGAGGTTTCAGGCAGGAACCTGCCCATGGAGCAGAGCATGGAAGTGAAATGATTTGTAATAGATCTATTATTGAAGCTACCTTTGGAAATACTGTATCTATAGATCAGTGGTTCTCAACCTTGGCTGCACATTAGAATCACCTGGGAATCTTTTTAAAATCCTGATTTCTGGGCCTTATCCTCCAGAAATTCTGTTTCTTTGTTACTAATGTTGTGGCCCCACCGCATAACAAAGAAACAGAATTTCCGGAGGATGAGGCCTAGGAATCAGGATTTTAAAGATTCCCAGGTGATTCTAAGGTGCAGCCAAGGTTGAGAACCACTGCTCTAGATAATATTAAAATATATCTAAATGTGCAATTCTTTGTCCAAAAAATGAGCATGTTCAAAAATTAAATGAAGAAAATTTGGATATACTCGGAGATTTTCACACGTATTTGAGTGATGATTCCATTGATTCCACAGATGATGCTGAAAAGGAAAATTTTTCCCATCAAATTTCTTAATAGTATTACTCCTTCGGGAATGCCGTGTCATAAATTAAAATTGAAAGTGGGTGCAATCATCATGGTATTGAGAAATCTCAATAGTAAATGGGGTCTTTGTAATGGTACCAGATTTATTATCTAAAGATTACGACCTAACATTATCGAAGCTGAAGTATTAACAGGATCTGCAGAGGGAGAGGCTGTTCTGATTACAAGAATTAATTTGTCCCCATCTGACCTGGCCTCCCATTTAAATTGATTCGACAACGGTTTCCCTTGATGCCAGCATTTGTGATGACTATTAATAAATCACAAGGACAAACTCTAGACAGGGTAGGCACGTTCCTACCTGAACCTGTTTTCGCACATGGTCAGTTATATGTTGTTTTCTCTCAAGTTTGAAGAGCATGTGACATTACAGTTAAAGTTCTAAATACTTCATCACAAGGGAAATTAGTCAAGCACTCTGAAAGTGTTTTCACTCTCAATGTGGTGTGCAGGGAGATATTAGAATAAGTTTAATCACTTTATCAGACATTGTTTGCATCACTGTTGTTTTTATATCATGTTTTTGTTGTTTTCATATCATGTTTTTGTTTTCATATCATGCCTCTGTTGTTATATCCTTTTGTTACTGTTTATTAATAAATTTATATATTATTTTCATATACATTTTACTAATTTCCTTTCATCTCTCACACTTCTATTATAGAGAAAGGGCAAATAGCAATATTAAAATATCTCTGCTAATTAATTCCCTTTTTTTAAAAAAAAATATTTTATTGATTTTTTACAGAGAGGAAGGGAAAGGGATAGAGAGTTAGAAACATCGATGAGAGAGAAACATCGATCAGCTGCCTCCTGCACACTCCCCACTGGGGATGTGCCCGCAGCCAAGGTACATGCCCTTGACCGGAATTGAACCTGGGACCCTTGAGTTAGCAGGCTGATGCTCTATCCACTGAGCAAAACCGGTTAGGGCAATTAATTCCCTTTTAATGTGCACGAATGTCGTGCACTGGGCTACTATTAATTAAGAAAGTTCTATATTCATAGCTATTTCATATGTTTGAATGCTGCTGAATTAAAATCTCACACAAAACAATTTTAAGTTACTGGTGAAACTGATAAAATTTTCATAAAGAAAATATAGAACCTGAACTCCAAGTTGACATGGAGAACGCTGAAAATACCAAGGACTCCAGAGAATGTTGATTACTGTAGAGCTTATGATTAAAGAAGGCCTTATCCAACACAGTTCTTTCAAATAAAAAATTTAAATAGAAAACTAATTTTAAAGAATTTTAAAAAACAAATATACTTTATGTGAAACATTTAACTTAAGAGAAGACAAATTGAATTTACTTAATTTTGTCTCCTTTTGCAAATATGCTTGAGATGTAAAAAGAAGCCCATTTTGTAAACCAAATCAGTGTGAAGTTTTGGCCACATAAGTCTAATGGACCAATGTTATGTACTACTGATGCTTTGGAATAACAAAGGTGGGCTGTGCCAACAAACACAATATACCCTGGAGAAAAAGTTGTCCTGACCCTTTTATTGTTGAAATTAAAAAATAAAAGATACTTAAATACAATGGTGAACATATAGGGCAAACAGAATCATAAAATTTAATGTTGAGTTAAGCAGTGAGCTGAATGTTTGGGCCTCCAAATTGGCTTGAACTCAAAACTGCTTAAAAATGGGTATGTTCACAGTTAACGGCAATTGGCTTATAGGTGAGAGAATGGTCGAAGTTGTTCCAGTTGAACTTCCAGGGAAATTCTCTCCTCAAGAACATCCTGAAAAAGATGCAAAGCCAAGTTATGTTTCAACATTTATAAAAATTAAGGCACATCTAACAACAGCTCTGCATCAAAAAAACAATTTAGATTTGTTAAGAAAACAAAGGGACAGCTATTCATTTTTTAAAAAGACACTTTAGAAATGTTTCTTTATGCATGTAATATTAAAAGACGCTATTAAAATATTTTATTATATAAATCAGGGTAATAAAACGTTTTTTGTTGTTTAATTATTAGAAAAGCCAATATTTGCAGCAAATGATGGTGAAAAGGAAAATGGGAGGCTTACAATCTCGTTCAGTATCTGGTTAAAACTGTAGTCTTACTTCCCCACTCTGACTTGAGCAGAGCTGCAGAGACTAACCCAGAGCCCCGCCACAGCTGACCAGGGAGGAGCTGCGGAGCACGCCCCCAAGGCCCCGCCAAGACTGACTTGGGCAGAGCTGCCGGACGCTCAGGGGCCAGCCACGGGAGGAGTTATATAGGTCAGAGCCTCCCCACAAGTTCAGTTTAGGCTTTGGATCCAGAATTCTCCTGAACAATCAGATCTGCAAAATAAAGGTTAAACTTTCCTCCCTCAGAGTGCTGGCTGATCGTTCTCTGTGCATTCTGCCACAACAATGGCTATTATGCGTGAATCATATCCCTTGCAGTAACTGTAGATAAGTTAACTAACATAAATTCTTTCCCCCGGTGATTACATCTGGTTATAGCAATGCCTGAACCTCATTTTGAGTTTCAGTTTCACAAAGAATAAACTTATTTTGCAATAGAATTTCTAATCACTGTTGATTTTGAGCAGTCTTTGCAGATAGCCAGCAAATTCTAATTTATCTACTCCCCCGCCACCCCATAATACTGACAATATCATATTTCAACCAGAACTACCTTTCCATATTTGGTACCATATTTCCTATTTTCTATTCTCAGAAATAATGAGAAGGGTGATTCTTAAAATGGCTCCTATATATATGTTTCTATGGTTTTCTTTAGTTCTTCAGAAAAACACCCATGAACAAAATTTTCATCTTCAGTTTGGTACTAGCAAGCTTGTCCTTAGTTTTATATTATTCCTTTACAACAAACCAAATTTATCATCATAGACCAACTATGTCTTCTTTGATCAAAGAATTTTGTAAGAATATCATTCATTCAACAGACATTTATCAAATGCCTAATGTGATATTATGATTTATAAGAAATAATACATTTGTCATTCAGATGCCCAAACACTGTATATCTCATACATATTTGGTCTTCATCCACAGTTCCTGGCTCAGAGCTCCCAAAAGCCCTAGGAATTTCCCAAGCATTTGGGTTGGGGGAAAAAGGTATCTTGTTATACTAATGAAAATGACTTTTGGAAAGCACCTAAGGCTGGTTGCCAGGAGAACCAACCAAGCAATTAGAAAGTTGGAACTTTCAGTCCCATCCCTGGCTGAAGGTTGAATCAACAGGACCCGCCAATGACTTAATCATGCCTAAGTAATGAAGCTTCTGTAAAAACCCTCAGGACAGTATTTGGAGAGCTTCTGGATTGGTGAGCACATGGAGATGTGGGGAGAGTGCCGCCTGGAGAAGGCATGGAAGCATTTTGCCCCCTTCCCAAGTACCTTGCCCTATACATCTCTTTCATCTGGCTGTTCCTGAGTTGGAACCTTTTAAAACCAGTGTTCTTAATAAGGGACACATTTCTCTGAGTTCTAGCAAATTAATGGAACCCCAGGAGAGGGCTATGTGAACCTCTAATTTACAGCCAGTTGGTCAGAAGTACCAGTAACAACCTGGACTTGTGATTAGCATTCTTAGTTGGAGGAGGTGGGGAGTGGTGGTATTGGAACTTCCATCCGTAGCCAGTTGGTCAGAAGCTCTTAACCTCTGGAATCTAGTATTATCTCCAGGTAGACAATGTCAGAATTAAGCTGAATTCTCAGAGACCCTGCCAGTGTCAGAACTGTTTGTTGGTATGGGGGACCACCTCCTAATACTGGAATTGGGTCTGGGAACCCTAACAACCTAACATGTGCTAGGTTTAGGGGATGGAGACAAGATAGTTACAAGTTTATCTAGGACAGTTCCAGTTTACCTCTGATGTCCTGGCCTAAGTACTAACACCTCACTCCCTCTTTGTAATCAAAAGTATCTTTCTAATCAAAAGTTTAGGCATAAATTATATAGTTATCCTAAACAGAAATAATTATAATTTATCCTTGGTGAGTTCAGTTTAGTAGGGCAGAGACAAATGTGCCACAGATAATAACTCCAGGACAGTGTGACAAATGCTGGATGAGAATATGAACACGTTATGGAAATGAATAAATTCTGTATTCATTGTACATTTTTGCAAACCCTTTTCTACTCATTTTTGTGGTTTATAACCTTGCTACCCAAAGCGGCTCAACAGCCCAGCAGCATCTCCAATATCTGAAGATGATGAGAAATGCATAATTCTCAGGGTCCACTCCATACCTAATTTGCATTTAACACAATCCCAGATTAACTATACACACATTAAGGTTTGAGAAACACAGGTTTATAAAACATGAATGCTTAATAATGTTAAGCCATAAATGATTCTGGTTAATTTTTATTCACAGGGATTGAAAAAAATCTTGGCTAGAGTAAGTAAGAAAAATAAAACTATTTCTCTCAAGTACAGACGACAGGAATACACACTGGTCCTAAGCACTTCTATTTAAGGCTTGTCTTTTCCACATGCAAGATGATCTAAATTGCCTCCATCCTTCTTCTTCTTTAGACCTGTTTAGTCCCTTTAAGAGAATCTGAGTTATCTTTGATAAAAGGGTAAGTTGACGATACTCAAATCAGAATTAAATGAGAGTGTAGAGAGAGCCATGTATGTGATCTTAGAGGTCACCATATTTCCTCTCCGGTGTTTCATTATGAAAAGTAAAGGAACATTATAAGAATAGCGATGCCTTTATAAGGTAAAGGCATATCAGCATTTAGTATAAAATATTCTTTTTAATATTAAAAGACTCAAAGGCATATAAAACATTTTAGATACATATTTCTCTTGCTACATAGCAAGTTTCATAGTAGTATAAGCATTGCTGGATCACTTCTAAGTTCCAGTTCAACCCTGAGATGCTCTGTGCCCATGGAACTTCCCAAACATTCAGAAACCACATTACCTTTAATTGTTGCTGCAATTCACTATTCAATCTGGCCAAAACTGTGTTGGTTTCCTTATTGCGTCTAATTGATGCCTGAATAGCTTTTTTATCTTTCCCAACAGACCTGAGAGATAAAGAGGGCAAAATAAGTAAATAACCTTGTCATTTCTTATCTTTAAATTTTCTCCATTCTTCCATGATCTACCTGTAACCAGAAAATAGGAGCATTTTTTGCCTTATCAGTCTAACGTAACCTCATTTACTCAGTTTCAACGGCAACCAAAAGTATCTAAGCTTCAGAAGCTTAATTTTTGTTATTGTTTTAATTCTTCTTCTGTAAAGTTAGTCTAGAGTAGGCATCAGCAAACTTTTTCTATAAATGGCCAGACAGTAAGTATTTTAGGTTTTGAAGGCCATATTTTTGTTCTCTCTCTCTCTCTTTTTTTTTTTTTTTACAAAAATGTAAAAGCCATAGCTCATGGCACTTACAAACACAGGCCATGTGCTGACTTTGGCCCATGAGACCAAGCCTGCCATGCCATGGTCTAAAAGAACTAGAGTTAAAATATCAGTGTTACTCTATCTACACTATTCATTTTTAAAAGTGTGCAATAGGGTACTAAAATGAAATTGGAAAAGAACTTAATAATAGAAGGGAAAAGTGGAAAGAATATTCTACCTACTCATAAATGAGAAAACTCTCAAAGAGCAACAATTAAGAAGCTTTCTTCAACTACAGAACTAGTCTGACCATAATTTCTTTCCGTTTGATATTTTTAATTGCTGTACTTTTTGTTGCTAGTAATTAACTGTATTTAGGATAGCTTTGATTACCTAGGAATAGAAGGCTGTGATGCAAGAACACCAGCTAAGACACCTGTCTTTTGTGTATGTTCATCAACTTCAGGCCTTAACTCATCTTCTGATTTTAATCTTCTTCGAACAGGTTTGGGTGGTGGAGCAAGAGGTGTTGTACCTTTGCCCTGGAAGACAAGAATTCCATTAATAATGAAGCATTTCCTGAAGACATTCATGGTTAGTCAGAATTTTGTCAACATCATTTGCTTTCCGTAAAAGCCACTTATTCTCCAAAAATTAAATCACTTTTCCTACTTTAAAACAATTTACAATTTGTTGTAACACCTGACTTAAGTTACAATAGGAGATGTTCCTACTTGACATCACAATTGTGAATGTACTGACTAGACAATTTTTAAAGGGTAATATCAGACCTGAATCTGACTCAAGTCTGTAATAGTCACAGATTTAACATGATTATGACACATGCTGTCATATATCTGTTCAATAAATATAAATATAAAAAAAAGTGTCCAGGAATGTACACCCATTATCACCATAGAATTTCCTACTCAAAAATACTAAAAATACATCATCTTAATGAATAAAGCCATTTATAAAGAAGTGATAAGTTAGGCACTGTTAAAAAAAACCCTTCACTAAGGTGCATAATAATTATAATTAATGAAAATGAGTAGACATTTTGTTGGAAACTGTGAATCTGCCTTCAACAGAATTAAATATGGTATTTTAGTATTTACCATAGTCTGACTTGACTTGTTAATAAATGAAAAGACTCAACTGCCATCTCTTTGGTTAAGTGCTATTTTTAATTTGTTAACAAGAGCTGACAAAAATTAACTATTAAAAAACACCACAGAATTACTAATGTAGTAAACAATAAAGTACTCATAAAGTAGAATTTAAACACTTTCAGAAACAAATGCTACTTTAATAACTATCAGAAATGACTGGATAAAAATAGAGAAAAAAATTAGCAAAATTTTTCTTTCAAGGGGAAAGTATGCAAATAGCAGTTAAGGATTGACATAGATCAGTAATTTTCAACCAGTGTGCCACAAAAAATTTTAAACCACGCAATTCTTGAATTCAGTTAGGGGCAGTGACCTCTTTTTTCTTACACTGTCAAACAGAAAAATGACAACAGCCAACATAATAGGCATCTGGTGTGAATGAATCAAAAGTATGTCTATTTTTCTGCAAAATATATATTTTTTGATGTGCCACAGATTTTTAGTAATTAGTTTATATGTGCCATAAGATAAAAAAGGTTAAAAATCGCTGATATAGATACAAGAATAGAAAGATATGTGATAAAGCAAGTATGGTAAAATAATAATTGATATACAATGTAAAATTCTTTCAATTATCTGTATGCTTAAAAATTTTCATAAAATGCTGGAGAAAGAAATTATCCCTAACAGTTGAAGAAAAGAGCACAGACTATAACATTAACCTTAGAGGGTCAATATAATTTTCCCTATTATACTTAAAAAGAAAACCCACACCTGAATATGATCAATAAGGAAGTTCTACTTTATGTACTTAGAAGACTGTAACACCACATAACTTTCAAGAACTGTGGCATTTACTTATATGGATGATAGACTATCATCTAGAATATTTAACAGGCAGATCATATTCTGAGACAGACTAAAGATGCTACAGTGAAAGGAATGGGTTAGATGTTCTCTAACTTTATTTCTAAGATTTTTGTCATCTTTAAAATCTTAAAAAGTATAAATGATCTCCTCTTTTTTATGTACAAAATAATCAACATTATAAAAGACTTATTGCATACCACATTGGCGGGAGCACTAGCAGCTGTCTTTTCTTCAATTTTACTATCTGTTTTGGCAACTCGAAGAGAACTTGCAGGATCAGAAGCTTTTTCAACCTAGAAATGAATATATTATTACTAATTAAATATAAGTAATATATAATTATGCATAAATACATACATAAAGCACCAGAGTAAAATGTTAAGAAAATATTCGTTATGACAATAAGGAATCTGAGATGAAGATGAGAAGGAATTTGAGAAAACCCTGTAAAATGACCATTCTCTACGACTGAAGAGCAGAGAGGAGGGAAGGTAACAGATGTGAGGGCGAGGGGGAGGGCTGAGGATGCAGCCATAGGGAATTTAGGAAGTTCTTTAGGTTGGGAGGGATGCATCCATCCAGGGGCATGAGGACCAGCACTCTGTGCACACTCGTACTTCCCCTCAGGTGCCCCCCTGCCTTCCTGGAGGTGCAGGCCATACCCTGTGACCCCACTGTGAGACAGGTTACAGGCTTGAAGAAGTGGCTAGTAGAAATTTATTACGGATCAGATCTATAAGAAACCTTTGACTGAATGATGCCAGTCAAATGAACATGGATTTTGGGATCTGTCAGAGAGGCTCCATCTAGGTTGAGACAATCAGAATCAAGGTTTTAGAATTCCTTTGGTCCCTCCAATTCCACATTTATAGTTAGTGAGGTCAGGGACCCCTAGAGAAGGTTTTGCAACTAGAAGTAAACAGTCTCCAGGAGCATTGTACCCAGAGATTATGGTACATTTTGGCATCCTGTAGTCTGTAAGTCTAACTAAATTGACTTGCAAACGGAGTGTAGCTTTGGCAATCACAGCCTATTGCTATAGGGATATCTTCACCAAATCATACAGTCAGAAGCTTAGCATTAAGATGCAACCCCAGTCCTAGCTGGTTTCGCTCAGTGGATAGAGCGTCAGCCTGGGACTGAAGGGTCCCAGGTTCGTTTCTGGTCAAGGACATGTACCTCAGTTGCAGGATACTCCCTGGCCCAGGCCTGGGCCCTAGTTGGGCATGTGCAGGAGGCAACCAATCGATGTGTTTCTCTCACATCAATGTTTCTTTGTCTTTCCCTCTCTAAAAATCAATGGAAAAATATCCCCGAGTGAGGATTTAAAAAAAAAAAGCAACCCCAGAGCAGTGTTTTTTCACACTACAGCTACTCCCACCCAGATTCTGATTCTTATTAAAGTAATACACTGCAATTAGCAGGAGTTTAAGGACAATGAAAAAATTGAGAAGTACTGGCCTAGGGAATATAAATCCTCTCAAAGCAGCAGCAGCAAATATTTTGCTCACTGATGTTCACTCTAATATCTGCTCTTTTAGAAGCTCCTCTGTTTACAGACCGACTCTGAGCAGAGATATGGAAAGAGTCCCAATGGAAAATTAGATAAGCCCTTAAAAACTGACCGGCAAGACTTCTGGATGTTTCTCAGCTTCATCATCTTGTTCTTCATTTACATTTGATGCAGCAAATACTTCAAATTGGCTGAAATCTGCAAAATTTGGTTGTTCTGGTATCTGCTGAGGTGAGGTACTAGTGTGAGTTATCATGCCATCGGCATCCACTGGGCGATGCACTGTGGGACCAGGAGCCTGCACGATGGTTCAGAATAGAGGAACAAACAGTTCATTGGTGTACCAGTCACCAAGTGGCCTCTTTTCCTTCTAAAATATTATTAAAACGATGCTCTGTTTTATTATCTGTAAACTCAGGGAGGTGAGCTACAGAAACATTTAGCTCTAAAAAACCCAGAAGAGAAATGCTAAGACACTAAATAAAAAAAATAAATAAATTTAAGATTCAAAACCCCAATAAGACAAATACCTTTACAAAATTCTTACTGCAAAGAAAGTGCATAAGGAGAGGGGAAAGTTAGGTTCTACTCTGTGATTCTCTCTTGCATCTATTTTTTTCTTACTTGGGCTATTGTGCAATTGTTTGTTCTTCAAACAAGTTATTTTTTTTAATGTTTCATTATGTTTATAAAAAGGTTATTTTTTTAAAGTGTAGAAATCAGTGTGCTAATTATTCTTCTAACACTTCAGGTGCTTCTCTTCAATTTATCCTCTACTCCATTGCCAGGCCAATCCTTCTACAATCTTCAATCAAAAATATTTTTTTGAGAATCTACTTTTGGCCAAGCATTATGGTTATAACAGTGAACAAAACAAATAAGGTCCATGCCCAATAAAGCTGACAGTCTACTGCAGGATGAGACATAGGTTAACAAGGAATTAAAATAGAGTGTGAAAGTTTTATGATAAAGGAAGTATAGGATGTTATAGGAATAAATCAGAAATCTCTTCCTTGCTTATCCTTTAAAAAGTTTCCATCTCCTCTGAGAAAAATTGTATCCTTCTTATAATGATATAGGAGATGCTCTGCCCCTTTCGGACCTCTTCAGTTTCCTTTCCCATCATTCCAGCTGTTCTAAACTAACTCATTTTTCCTTGAAGACTTACCCCACACTTGTATGACTTTGTGGATGCCATTCTGTCTGGTTGGAAAGCCTTCTCCCAAACCAATACAACTTTATCTTTCAAGTCTCTACTTAAGTGTTACTTCCTTCACTTTACTTATACCTTTTCACTGTGATCCCTGACTTTATTAACTAGTAAAGATGTAGCAAAACATTTCATAAACGTATCTACTGTTGCCCTTACAATTCTTTATAGTTGTCTTCCCCACTAGACGGTTCTTGAGTCAACAGACCAACTCACTGGGTTTCACAGCTTAACCCCAGTAAGAATATTTTTGCTGGCACTTTAGATAAAATAAATACTGGAATATTCAAATTTCAGCATCTTTTATGATTAAGCAACCATCTTTTTAACTGTAAATACTCAACTTCATTTTAAGACTCTAACTCAAAAAAATCAACCAAATTCATTCATGTAAAAGGTAGTCAGTCAGTGACATAAAACTAACAGCTATAATCCAGAATCTACCCTGGAACATAATAGTTTTGTGCATATCAAAACAATTTCAACCTGGCAGGGATGCAGAGGTCATCTGACACTTCCTTCACTGATGCAGTAACACATCCAGACCGACGCAGTGAGGTCACTCTGAGTCACTGCTAGATCCAAGACACAGATGGCCATCTCCATCTCCTATCTCCCAATCCAGTTTTTCTAACTAAACTCTCCTTTGTCAAGACACTATCATTTGGTTCACTAGCAGCTTCTTTAAAAAAATAACTGAAATTATTATTGGAATTCTCTTTCAAAATAAGACTTATCTTCCCTGAATTAAATGCTCAGTAAGAATGAAAATTCGGTAATTCTGGATCTTCAAAATAATTCTAGAATAGAATCAAACACCTAATAGATAAGTTAATCATGAGGAGTGTAATAACTGATGTTTAGTAATGAATATGTTGCAGAATACCTGTGAAGGCTGTGGTCTTGGAGGCACGGCAGGAGGATGGGCAACAACTCCAGCCTGTTGTTGTCCTGTGTGAATATACAAGTCTTCTTTTTAGTAAGTATATAATTACTTTGCTAGTAGAACAGGTTGAATGAATATGATCAAATGATAAAGATTTCTAAAAGATTGCTTTGTTAAGTATAGGAAGGCATAGATGTGATCTAATGGCCAAATCTCATGGTCTTTTCTCAGAATCCATTTCTCTTGTTCAATTGTACAGGGCACTCTTGACATGTTCCTCCTTGTTTCCATAATACTATACATTCTTGGTTTTCTTTCCACATTCTGACTGATTTTTAGCTATCAAATATGAGGACTTCCAATTTTCTCTTTTAATTAATACTTCAGTCTATTATTTCTATGAAAATGATTCTCAAATAATGGATTAATCTTTCTTAGCCCACAAATCCAGTGGCCTGTTGATTATTTCTTTTTCCTCATAATTCTAAACTCACAACATCCAAATAGGACATCATTACCCAGTGTCCTAATTTTTTATTTTGATCAACATAATAATAATAATGACCAATTATATAAAAATTAAAATATTGGAGTAAGCTGTGGGTCCTCGCTCTCTTTTGTTGCTAATTTAAGACCTATTAGCTTTTCCTCCTTGATATCATCATATCATACTTTTACAATCTCTGTGGCATCTCTCAGGTTCCCATCTTTATCACTTGAATTCAAACACAGTTTAGATAGACATTAAGAAAAAAATTCCCTCTCTGATACTTTTTAAATCCCAATTTTTTCTTTGGATAAATATAAAAACAGATATGTTGCAAAAATAAGGTGTTGTGTGTCCTTAATGACTTTAAATCAAATGATAATTTGATTCACAGCTCTCTAACCCCTACCTGTGGTGACTGTAAAGGTCCGATTCATGTCTAAAGATGACGATCTAGAATGCGAGGGCTGTGGCCTTGGAGGGGGAGGTGGTGGTGCAGTGTTATCAGGGGATGTTCCTGAATGAGACCTGCAAAAAGTCACCACATTACAGTTGGTCATGCTACTGAGACTGGAGCTTTTTCTTTTTAAGCATTCAAACTTGGCTAAGCAGCAAAAGATATTTTCTCAAGTAGGTATACACATATTACAATGAGTAAAGTCAGTATTATTTATGATGTGCATTCCACAAGTGGTTATTTAATATGGCAAATAATCTTTTTTATAAAGTATATTTTTATATTTAACAATATTTCAAAAAAATTGAAAAGAAAGTTATTAACAAGAATTTAAGGTAGACTGCAAAACTAGTGTAATTTTTTCCCATTCAATTATAGGCATTTGTTTAAAATATTTACTTAAAAAAAAAACCCCAAAACTCTAGCCTTGACCAGTGTGGTTCAGGGTTCTGTGAATGCCATCCCATGCACAGAAAGGTAGCTGGTTAGATTCCCAGTCAGGGCATATACCTGGGTTGTGGGCTCGATCCCTGATAAGGGGCATGCAGGAGGCAGCCAATCAATATTTCCCTCTTACGATGTTTCTCTTTCTCTCCCTCCCCTTCCTCTCTCACTAAAAATCAATAAAAAAATCTTAAACAAACAAACTACTTTCAGACATGGACAGTTTTCAACTTAAAGTCTGGAGTTTGGCAAGTTGAGGTAGAATCTGGCTCACTATCTGCAGTTCCCATTCCTGTGTTCCCACAGGCCATCCCATTTTAGAGGTGGCTGTACTCACGCTCAACTCACCTGGAGATGCACTTCTTTGCCACCAACTTTTTCTATATTCTGAAAAGAGTCTCATGGACTCTGGAAATCTAATCCTCACTTATAGGGATAAAAAGCAGAATAAAATCCAAGATGACTGAGAATTTTAAGAAACACAGGAAGAACTATGAAGAAGCAGCCTCTGACTCTGAGCTCATTGGTGATTCTATATTACTAGCCTCTCTCTACATCCTCTAGGCACGTGGCAAAAGGATACTTACCACACATAAGTGAGAGGAGAAAGATACTTTTGTCCTGCACACAGTGTTCTGTGGACAGTAAAGCCCTTGAAGACAAACCCTTTCCACCCTCATCTTTTTAGTTTATGCCTGAAACGTTGTATGTAACACAGATCTTCAGGGTAAATAGGTAGCCCAACACTGGGCTGAGATTTTGGATAGCATTTTAAAACATAGAATTCTTTTGGTACTTGCCATAAGGCTATAAAAGAAAATCTGCACATTTATCACTTAAAGAGACTCAGTTTATCTAAAGAAAGAACTGTATTAAATTGCTACTATCAAGAAGTTACCAGTCCTTCTTAAACCTTCCACAGAATGCCATGAGATAATAAGGGTTTCATCTGTTTTCTATTCAAGTTGGAAAAAAAATAAAAATTACTTCCCTTTTACATAAATCAATAGATAATCTAACAGCCTTCAGAGAAGTGAAGAACTAAAGAATAGACAAAAATATGTAATTTATACTTGGTCCTACATAATTTTAAGTATTAAAATGTAACAAGATATTTTAATATGCTTTTTATTGACAGAAATACTGACCTTTGACGAGTTACATTGTTCCCGATCTGTTCTGGGTCTGAAGTAAAAGAGTCTGAACTACTGTAACCATCTGCTGATAAATGGAATATAGCCTACTTAGTAATAATCATTTTTTTCACTTTAACTCTATGTGCCCCAACAAATATAACTGCATTATTGTTTCAAATCAGAGATATTCAGACTGGCTAACAGTTCATACCAGTTTTATTATAAAAAATTAAATGTATTTTGTATATTGTAAAAAAATTAAATATAAATCAAATAATTGCTTATTTATACAATACTATGCATTTAGTGTAAGTTATAATCTAGAAAAGTTAACATTTAATACCATAAATATTCAAAATAAGTCACATAGAAAGGATCACAAAACAGTACACACATTACAATTTCATTTTATATAAAAATATGGCATATGCACAGAATGGGGATTAAGCTTGACAATGAATGCTAACCATGGTCATTTGTGAAACAGTGAGATTATAAACATTTTTATTTTTATTATACTTCTACAGTAAGTGTGAATTACTTTTGTAATAAAAATCATTTTTAAAGAACAAATTAGAAGTATTTTAAATAAAACATTTAAAAACTGTTAATGTGAAAAATTTTTAAAGTTTCACAAGAAAATAAAATGTGCTTAGGCAATAATAAAATTGATGAAATTAGCTAGAGGTTCCTAATTTTTCACCTGAGGAAATATCATTTTCAACTTCTTCAAAGTCCTATGAAGGAGCAGAGAATCCAGAAGCAGACTGACAGTTGTGACATAATACAGGAATTTTAAAATAGGAACTCGAGGAACAATATAAAGGAAAACTACCTATTCATTTTCAAGAATTATAACTTAAAGGGACTGGTTGTTTGGACATATTTCAAAATGTATCCCTTTTCTTGTCAAATCACTGAATTATTTAATTGGCAAAGAAAAAGGCTAACATATTTCTATTTGGATGTTCTAATGGGTATTGCAAACTTAAGATGTCTAAAACTGAATCCTATTTTTCCCCCACAGACCTACTCCTACCAGAGTCATCCTAAATTCCCAGTTGCCCAGGCCAAAAATCCCATGAGCCACCCCGAATCCTCTCTCACATATCCTATATCACATAGATAAGCAAATCCTGTGGTCTTTCCCTACAAAATACAGCCAGAACTTGGACCATTTCTCAGTATTTCTACTGCCACCACCATCGACCAAGCCATCATCTTCACTTATCTGCATTATTACCAGTAACTGCCCCCCAAATAGTCTTTCCTGTTTTGGCTCTTGCCTTTTGGCTCGTTACCAGTATAGCAGCCAGAGTGATTCTGTTAAAGAAGGAAGGTCAGACCATGTCACTTCTCCATTCAAAACCCTCTAACAGCTTTTCATCTCACTCAGTAAGAGTCCATCTTAACCTGCTCTCAGGTTACTATTCTACATTTGCTACCTCTACCTGCTCAATTTGCTAGGTAGTTCTATTCTAGGTATTTGCTTGCTGTTCCCAGCAGAAGTATGGCATGTTTCCTAAATCAGGGCCTCACATTTGCTACTTCTGTGCCTTAAATGCCTTTGCTTCAGAAATTCACCCAGCCAAATCCCTCTACTCCTTTAAGATTTAACTCAAATGTCATCTTTTGGTAAGGCCTTCTTTAACCAGCTAATTGAAAGTCACTTCCTTTCCCCTTTCCCAACTTAATTTTTATCCAGGGTGTTAATCACCTCCTAGGACATGAGCTATTTTTCCCCCCTTTTCATCTTATCTCCCCTACAAAATGTAAGCTCCATAAAGGCAAAGGTTTTTGTTTGTTTATTTTACTGCTGAATCCTCAGTGTCTAGAACAGAGCCTGGCACATAGTATTCAATCAACACTGGCTGAATGACTGAATATATACACAATTTCTTGTGAGAGAAAGAAAGGATCTAGTGGGAAAGAGCCAATGGACTAAATCTGGCTAATTAAGAGGAATGGCAAACAGGAGGCCTGCCCTGAAGAGGTTCAGGTGGCAATGGGGACACATTTACTCATACAGCGGGTAGGGTGTTTAAAAGGGTTGACTATTCTCTACTTTATTCAGTGAAGATAATATTAAATGGCTATACATTTGTATATTTCAGGCTCTAAATCCAAACTTAATAAATTTCTAGTGGAAGATGTCGTGGTATCTTTCACTTACCTACAGTATTTCCAGAAGCAAATTTCACTGATGAATTTATCTTATTTTCCTCTGAAAGGTCAGATGTTTTCACAAGTAATGGGCTAGTGGGATTAGTATGATCTAGTAGAAAAGAAAATTAGTAAGTAAAAATGTAAGATAAAGGCATTTGTATTAATAAATTTATAAAGCTCAGAGTATATGAGACCTAATTTAGATATTCCAAAGAAGTAGCCAATAAATCCATGGAAAATAATACAAAATAATATTTTTAATAAAAACAAATATAGCCTTGACCAGTTTGGTTCAGTGGATAGAGTGTCGGCCTGGGGACTGAAGGGTCCCGGGTTCGATTCCAGTCAGGGGCATGTGCCCTTGGGTGTGGGCACATCCCCAGTTGGGGGTGTGCAGGAGGCAGCTGATCAATGTTTCTCTCTCATCGATGTCTCTAACTCTCTGTCCCTCTCCCTTCCTCTCTGTAAAAAATCAATAAAATGTATATTTTCAAAAAAAAAATTAAAAAAACAAACAAAAAAACAAATATAAATCTATTTATATAGAACTTCTTTTCTGCCATATAGAAGATATTTTACAATAAAAGTCAATTTGCATGTTCATATTTTGTTAATTTTATCCCTTTAGATAAGTAATTATTTAAACAAAACATCACACAAATGGTTATAAGTAATTTATGATGTTGACTAATATAGGAAATAAATTTATCTTTGAGAAACCCTAATTATAAAACATTTAATCTAAAATGAGGAGAAAATTGCCCTGACTGGGTGGCTCAGTTGGTTGGAGTGTCCTTCCATACACCAAAAGGTTGTGGATTTGATTCCTGGTCAGGACACATAGCCAAGTTGTGGGTTCAATCCCCAGTTGAAGCTCATATGAGAAGCAACTGATTGATGTTTCTCTCTCTCTCTCAAAAAATAAAAAAAATCAATAAATATACTCTTGGGTGAGGATAAAGAAAACTAAAACGAGAAAAAAATTCAAGAATTTTAGCAAAAGAATTTCAAAGCCAAAACTCACTTTAACATATGCTTCTTCAGTTACAATTTTAACATATTTTAAATGTAAATTCACAAAAATGATCATAAAACACAGTATCAGAAAAATTCATATTTTCAATGTCCTTATTTAAGTTTTATAATTTAAATTCAATAATTTCCTTTTAAAAACTGTAAAATAAGTTAAAATATACATATAAGCACACACATATATGTATAACTGTAGAAAGTACTATGTTAAAAAATAAGCAATTATGAAAGAAATCTGAAGCCTGATAGAATAATTACTTCTACCTGCTAACCTAATATAGACCAGCCACAGATTGCTTACCACTGCCAGTTCTTTTAAGTTCCATTTCCTGCATGTGGATTTTGCTTGGAGTCATACGAATGGGAACTGGATGAACAATAGCAGTATCCTAGGAACAAATGAGAGGGAATACAGAATTTGTATTAAAAATGCCAAATTGATACCAAGAAATAATAAAAATTAACAATATTTTAAAAACTGGTGGATAGACTCTCTCATTCACACTAAAGCAAGCATGAAAATGAATTTTTAAATTAAAATTATAGAATTATACGTAAAAAAATCAAGTACATGTCTAATAATCTGATTTTTTTTATTAAAAATACATTTTAACTTTTGAGTGATTAAAGATTTGAATAAAAACAATAACCTTATAAAAATAAAGTTTAAGATAGTATTCAAAGTGTGAAATGATCTGATGAAATCATACAAATTTGAACCTCTCAGGTTAAAGTGAAACAAACTACTTCATTAGAATCCAAAATTAAGTAGTAGACCAAACTCATTTTCAAGAAACTGCTCAAGAAAATTTGAAACTTTTCTTTTTCATCTATAAAACAGAGTTAAAGAGATACCTGCTATATTGTAACAGTAGGCACAATGCATACTTTCACTGATTAGTTTATAGAACTTTAAAATTTAGCCTAACATTTCCACCAAGGGATCCAGTTTTTAAGAGGGATAAGACTCCTACTCTAAGATTCTAATATTTTCTTAAGCCATTCAAGATTATAATACATCTGATATTCCTAAACTTCATTAGTGGCAAGTCTAGTTAGAAGGGTAAAGAAACTGATAGAAGAGACTTTTCAGAGTGAGAGAGTAAGGCCAGGAAGAGAAGATGAAGACAGATGGTAGCCTCTCTGAAAGCAAAGGAAGAGAAAGGTACACCTGGGTACACAGGTAAGCCTGACGCTGGGAGCTGCCATACCAGTGGAAGAACCAGAATAGGATCAAGCATTTGGCTTAACAACTACAGACCAGATGAAAAACACTGGGAAGGAGGCTCAGCTCCTTGTATGAGGAGTCAGTTCGCATTTTGTGTGTGCTGCTGCTAAGGACTGAATATTAGATCCTTAAATTTTGAATATCTAGTTGAGTTAAGTTTATAATTTAGTGTAAAGGATAATTACAGTTTAAATCCAACACTATTTTGGTGACAGTACCAACACCAAGCCTCTGCTAGAGAAAGTTCTAGTATACCATTTCTTGTTTGCAGCTCTCCTTGGCTTATTCTTATAATCTCTAAATTCGAACAATTTATAACAAACAAATTAATTCTTTATTGCAATTATACTGATAAATCCTTTCATAGCATTTTCCTGCCTCTATATCAGTGAAATACTGGACAGGGTTCATGTATTATCCAATTGAAATGAACTAACATTTCCCCTACAACTCTATAATTACAGTTATAAAGGTGAACATTACAAGTGGATAGAAGGTTAGATTTCTCACATAATAATGAATCACTCACAGGGAAATATTTATAACAATACACTTAAAATGTTGTTATTGTTATAAAAACATGGCTTTAGAAATAAATACTATTTTCTTAACTTCCAATTTTAATAGCAGAAATAGCTGCTATGAAAATCAGAATTTAATATAAGGCAAGATTAAAAGAGAAAGAAATGATAGTTTGTGACACAATAAGTTCTTATTACAAACCCCCCAAAACTAGAAAAAAACAAGCAAGGATAATTTATTAGATGCTTTAAACTCGTAGTATTTATCTAACATATATTCTATGTGTATGTTTATAAAATCAAATTTATAAAGCTTATAACAGTTGGAAATATTAATTAGTCTTTTCATATATTTTCAGTACAATAATGAAAATACATTAATGACTACAAAAAAATAATCATGAATGTTCTATTCACTATCCAAATAATTTCCTTAAGTTTCTGTACCAACAAAGCTTTTTGTATAGCATACTTCAGCCATACACTGACTGGTTGCTAAGAGCCTAAAATAGCTTTAGTCCAGCGGGTCTTAGCTACTTAGCAGGACAAGGTAATTCCTTGAAAACCAGAGACCGTATATCAGAGGCTTCATTTATGACTGCGATGTTACAAATGAGTCAAAGCATGATAGAGGGCTCTGACTTTAAGCATTTGAACATCCCAGATGAAGAACCATGAATGCCTACTAGCCTCTGAGTCCTGAGTTACAAGATGTCAAAGTAACACTTTCTCTGCTCCAAACTAGCATCCCTAAATGTAAAAATAGAGATCACCTATTCAAATCATCCAAAGCCTTTAGGAAACCCATTCGTAATTACTCATGGCACATTTGTGTCACCTATTTGGGTATTTGATTTCATACAATTTAGCATTTTATTGAATATTATATTAATGCTCACATAATCTATATTTTCTACTTGATTTAAATCCCATTATCCTGTCTATCTGAATCCAGCCCTGCCTACTTTCCGTTTCTTAGTTCAGGTGCTCATCATCTCTCTCTTGATCCCATCAATCCTTTTTATTATAGCTCTTCCTTAACCCCATTTTATCATGGTACTTTTTTTAATAAATATATTTTTATTGATTTCAGAGAGGAAGGGAGAGGGAGAGAGAGATAGAAACATCAATGATGAGACAGAATCATTGATTGGCTGCCTCCTGCACGCCCCCTACTAGGGATTGAGCCCGAAACCCAGGCATGTGCCCTTGACCAGATCGAACCCACGACCCATCAGTCCCCAGGCTGATGCTCCATCCACTGAATCAAACCAGCTAGGGCTCATGGTTCTTCTTATTAGCCAACAGTGTCAATGAGATTTAGTTTAGATCCTTGGTCTAATATACAAAGATCTTCCCAGTCCCATCATTCCCCCATACACATGTCTAGCCTATACTCTCACCACACTGGATCCTGTTCATGATACTCGCTCTGCTTGGAATGCTCTTGTCCAAATCTGGCAATTCATAGTTCCATTCAAAACTCAGCATAAAAGCTCCTTTATGGAAACTTTTTGGGGTAAGCTGGCCCATGATTCTCTGCCCAGAGTTTTGTTCATAGCCATGGATGGTAATTATCACAATCAGATGAATTACAATCATCAAGCTTATAATGAACTGTGGTGTGGTCTACTTAAGACTGGAATTTTGTTCCTGACATTTTTGTATTCCTAGAAAATATCACAGGCACCTAGAAAGGAGCTACATCAAACCAGGTGAGTTGCCTGGGCATAATCAGTGATCAAACCCACTTCCCTCTGTACTCTAAAGTACTCAGAAGCTCTATAGCACTCAAGATCAGGGATATCATGGAGAAGACTAGTGCATGACACTTCTCATCAGTCTAGAATTTCTTTCCAGAAGCGTCGGCCTGCGGACTCAAGGGTCTCAGGTTCGATTCCGGTCAAGGGCATGTACCTTGGTTGCGGGCACATCCCCAGTGGGGAGTGTGCAGGAGGCAACTGATCGATGTTTCTCTCTCATCGATGATTCTAACTCTCTATCCCTCTCCCTTCCTCTCTGCAAACAATCAATAAAATATATTTTAAAAAAAAGTAACAAGAGAAGCAAAAGGCACAGATGATTTACATATTAACTGACTCTTAAATTAATTATAAAACACTTCCATACATTATCTACTTGAATTCAATTTAACATCCTCTGTATTTCAAATAGATATAAAGTCTTTAAAATTATAAAACACACCAAAGATTCATTAAACTGTTGATGTATTATTATCTTTAAATACCACTTCTCCCAAATCCACATTAAATAAGAAGACCATTTTTACATTTAATTCATGAATGCTGGCTGTCTTTGATCAAACATCTAAAAAGAATGCCTTCTCCGTATCTTTCCACTGAGCTCATTTTCTAATCCTACCTTTACACTCTTCTTCCCTTCCTACTTATTTCCTCTTTTCTTTTTGAAAGTGGTTATTAGCATGTCCTTCTTTTTAAAAGAAAAAAGAAAAAGCAGGAGTGAACAGTGAGAAGAATGATTAGCAACTAAGGTTTTGAAATGTTCAAATAACTTGAGGGACAGGTGGGTCATATATTAAATTAAATCTAAGGGAATATAATTTATTTTTGAAATCATGATGTGAACTTTGTAGCATTTTTCAGAGTAACACAGTAAACCACAGGAAGACAAGACAGGCTCCTTTGCACAATGGGAATCTTTGACTAACAACTCTGTTGTTTTGCTGAACTTGATTCTCTTGTAACAGAACTCAACATACTATTTAAGTCAAAGCCATACCATCTGGACTATTAAAATAAAAGATGACATTGCATATTTACATATGTAGTACATATTACATGATATGTAAGCATACAAATAAAACAGTATTTACTAAGTGTAACTACACTAAAATAAATAGTATGTTTAATAGAACATACACTCAATTAGCAAATGAAAACAAGTCAACTAAATCAATTGTCACAAAATGCTTCTTTAGACACGTACCAGCTTTTTAAAACATACAGTTTCACAAAAATAACTAGAAAATACAAACAATGGTAAAAAAAAAATGTTCTTTCCACCATTAGGCACACAAAAATTGAAAAGCTTGCTACCATTTCTCTCTAAGCACTCCACTGAATCATGCATATCTGCTAAAAACCATAATGAATGGAAATTTGGGTTAATAAAATTAATTTCAAACAAGCAAGCTAAGTGATTGACTTACAGGATCAGCTGGTGCAATGTTAGAATCAAATTGGGTCAGAGTTTGTGAGCTTGAAGAGCGTTCACTAAATGTCTCCCACTGCTGAACAGACAGAGGAGAGACAAGTCAGCATGATGAGAAAGATGGAGTAAAAAGATCACTGGAGAAGATTTAGCAAAGTCATTCAGAGGTTGCACTGCAAGTTGTGTTTCATAGGCCTGACAAAATTCTGTAATTTCTATTTTTGAAATAAACATTTTATACTCATCTATGCTGGGTCATCTTGTAAGGTAAGGTGAGCACCTTCACAATCAAATGTATAGTAACAATTTATTGCAATCTCTATGAAGAGATTCAAAGCCTTACAGAGTTCAACCTCAAAAGAGACATAAGAACAAATAAAGTCTAAGTGGTATAAATAGCAACAAGGTAAAAATGTAAAGGGGTTTGTCTTGACTAGAGAAAGAATAACTTCAAATCCTCCTTTTAAAATTTAAATACTAATGCATTGATTTGGTGATGTTAGTGAATCTTGACTACCAAACTTTTGGTCAAAACAAAGCAAGTCATTGTGACTTGCCAGTGCCACCCCTGAAAGATGATTTTGTTATGTACGTGCACATATTTTGTACATATGTATACTTAATAAAATATAATTGTGATAAAGTGCAAAGAACTCTGGAATTATAATATATGTTCGAGCTTTTGTCAATCTGTAGCAAGTCAACCCCTGAAATCAGCACTATGAACAGGACCATGCCAGATCGAAAGACAGAGCTGCCAATCAGGCACCGCCCCCCGCTTCCCCCATGCTAGAAAAATCAGAGTGCGGCCACAATGAGAGCAAATCAAGCATCTGGGTATGTGTTATATATAGAGGATGTATTTTGATATGAAATACTACTCTCCTAAAAGAGGCACACAAATATCATACCTCTTAAAATTGGTGGAGTGATAAGCCAATAATAATTATAGCAAATTCCATTTGTTTTAAAGATCTTGGTAATAAAATAGTATAGAATTTTTATATCAAAACTGCATCAAAATTTGATTCTTGAGAATTTTACTCTGAGGAGGGAAAAACATCTACACATATACAATATATACAAACGAATGTTTACACACAGACAAACCTATCCCATTAACCAAAATCCTCTTTTTGTAATTCAGCATGGAAAAGTATACATTTTTATGCTTCAAAGTTCGACTTATTTAAAATAGTGATATTCCATTTGAGAAGACTTGTAGAAATAAAATATTAGCAAATTAATACATTGATGAAAATTATCTACAAAAATGGCTAATACAATCATTCAACAACTCTGCCTACAAATTTTAAAATCATGAAAATTAAGACATTGATGTATTCAAAGTGATTCTTGAATAACAAAACTTCATTCTTATCATGGGACATCACTTCAAAGAAGTGATTTACCAATATTTGTTGTTAATAATTATTGTTTCTTCAATAATTATTGTTGCATGTGCACAGAGGAATTTTTAAAACCCTAATGAATTAAACTTTTACATGTAGATTTTTGCCAAAAAGAAGGGATTTATTTACCTATTTGGCTGTATGAAGTTTTACTTGGTTTCACAAGACTGTATGCAAGCTACCTAGAGAGCAGAGAGACACTTTTATCTTCATAACTTTAGTATAATGGTTAGGAGCACAGCTCTGGATCCAGACTACTGGAATCCTAGTTATACTGTACAACCTTAGGCAAGTTATTTAACCTCTCTGTAATTCATTTTCACCATCTGTAAGGTGAGATTAATAATACTATAAGATTGTTATGAGGAAGTAGAGATCATATATGTAAAAAGCTTTTAACAGAACTGGCACATCCCAAGTGCTCAACACATATTAAGGCTTATTATTAGTGCTGTAGTTATTAGTAGTATTATTCCTTGCAATGTCTCATCCATTTTTAGATGCCGAATAATTATCTGTTGAAAGGATCATTAGTGCTTTGTGTAGAGATTTATTAAGATGTCTCAAAATCAATGTTAGTTTTATTAGCATTTTGATTTTCCACAGAGTTAAAAGAAAAATAACACGACATTCATAGCCGAATTATTACTGAATACTACAAAATGAAACTTGCTCTATCTAAAAAGAAAAAGTGCAACTGCTTAAATCAGAATATGGAAGGGACTTCTATTCCTGGTCTTTAATGATCACACACAATTTTATTTAGAATGAATATGGGCTTTAGAATAGAGATGCTTTAGAAAGAGCTGCTTTTATTTATGAGCTGGTATCAATGGAATAACTACTCTTAATCTGATATTACTTTTTAAAAATGAGCAAGTAGTTTCAAGAGTAATGACCCCACTCTTTATAAAGCCTCTTTACTAGTGAATTATTTCAAGGCTTAATTCCTCCCTCTAGAAAAACTTATATATAAGACTTTACATCCAACAGTATGACAAGTGCTATGCATTAGGTACAGTATCTGTGATTATGTCATAAAGCAGCAGCAAGTACTTTAAACCTGCCAGTTACTTCTGTTTTTCAACTCTCCAAAATTAATGAATGTCTCTTTAATTCAGTACTTTATTACTGGTTTTAAAAGATATGAAAAGTCCAGACGTTTAGAACTTTTTCCTGCAAGTCAACAAACTTTTAAATTTTTAAGCACTACCTAAAAGTGATTTAAGGCAAAAAAAAGTTACTTATTCACAAAGAAAACTGCTCTAACAGGCTAGAACAGCTACTTTTTAGCTGAAGTTCTATAGAGCACTAAGGTTTAACATAGAGGCCTCCGGCCTACTTCTCTGATTCTAATCAGAGTGGCACCACTTTTATAGTTTTATATAATGGAGTTCCCAAGTAATGAGGAGGAGAGGGGGTGCATTTGTCTCAAATTCTGTTTTGCATGTTATCCTTGGTCTTATATATAATATCCTTTAACCACTGCATTTATTAGGGTTTAATTCCATATTGTATTAAATAAAACTAAATTATTATCAATAGCCTGGGTTGAAGAAAATACTTTTTTCATGTGGAAGGCAGGATTAGTGACTTCTCATATCACTTTCAATACTAAGATTCCAAAATTATTATCACATACAGGAATGAGAAGCGGTGTGACATGGTGGGTGTGGTAACTGACTACAGGTCAAAGGACTTGTGTTCAAATCTAAGCTCTTGTTCTTCAGTGGTTATGAGTTATCTTGGCCAAGACATTCACCCTTTTGACTATAACCTGCATGTTCCTGCCCCATCTAACTCACAGGGTTTTAGCAGGAATGAGTGGTGAAAACCAAATGACAGTATATATATATGAAAAAGTACTTTGAAAACCTCAGAGTCACATAATTACAAACACTTATCATAGCCCTACTTTATATGCTCTCTTAGCTATGCATACCTGCTGAAAGAGCTCTATGCTGAAATTACTGTTTGGAACGTCTTACCTTAACAAAGTTAATGTTAAATGAAAGGAAAGGGAAGCTTTGCTAACCTCACTGCTCTGATTCATCTCTGGCCAAGTCTGGTTTAGTGACGGCATTGATGGTGACTTGCTTGGAGGTGCTTCTGCAGGCGAGCCGGAATAACCTACCTCACCTGTCTGATCCCCAACATCTGCAATTGAAAAACAGAAATTCTCCATAAATAATATAATTTAGTTTAGGAATATTACTTATAAAAAAAAACCCTGAAGATTTGACAAGTAGTAATTGATAATCTGAATTTCCTTTCCTCATGTTCCTAAAATAAACATTTTTATATTAAATGTCAACTGTAATTGAAAAATAAACATTTTAACAGTCAGACAATTAGGCAGTACTTATTCCTGCTACTTATTGTCTACCCCAAACCAAAGCTTTCCATGAAAATAAATTCTAGTTAGGAATAGAAAAAGAGTGTTAGGCATAATAATACATCTAGCACAGATGTTTTTAATCATTTTCTGATAATAGGGCTGAATTTGTAGCAGATCCCAAAGTGTATTTTATGGAATATAAATGTGAGGTACTTTAAAAAATTAGGTTTAATAAATTTTTTCTATTCAAATTTGGGAATACTGTAACTCCCTGTTGGAGCAACTCCATGAATATTTGTATATGAAAGACCTGTAATGTCTCAGAGCAAATTAACTATTTAAATCCTTTTCCCCAAACACAAACCTTTTTTTATCAAATAAAATCCCTCAATATTCTCTTGGAATATACTTTGGGAAATGCTAATTTACACTAAGTCACTCACATTTTCTCTACAAGGCTCCTGTGTTACCAAAAAGCAGCATATATTTGCAGGGCAGAGAGTAAAAGGAGAGGAAGAGTCCCAGGCATGAGTGAAAAGCAGTCAATGAGCCCACACCAAAGAAAGTTTTGGCATTAAGCCCCTGGCACTTAAGCTTCACTGAGAACGCTACAAATCCATGACACCATTGCAAAGCAGTTTTTAAAGTATTATGTGGTAGCACATTCTGCTTGTGAGTAGTTAAGCCCTAATTTAAAATATCACTTGAATTTCAATTTGAGAACAGAAGGAATTTCAATGGTAACTTAATTCTCATTCCAATCTTCCCAAGCTTTACATATTTTTGAATATAATCCCAGTCTGAAAATGAAATAATTGCCAAATTTATGGGGAGTACTTAATCTATTTAGAACCTGTATCAAAACATTGTCCCAGCATCTGTCACTATCTCACTGCTTGACCATGGGCAAGCTAAATAAGACAGCACCTGAGTTTCTCCATCAGAAAGAAAGACATTTGCCATTAAACGTTAGCACTGTAGTTCAAATTCCTAAATAAACAGTCATACAATAACTTAGCAATGTATAGGTTTTAACCTTTCAATCTATTCAAAAGTAAATCCTTCATATTTTAGTGCCTAACACAGAACCTAATACATATTATGTACACAAATCTTTATTTAATGAGTTGCTTTTTGTGTTCTTCTTCATTAAATTCATTCTCCTTTGCTGTTATTTTCCCAGAACCAAAGCTAACTACCAGTATTTTGAAAAAGTACTCAATTTCTCTTTGCCCTTTGTTACATGACTACTATCTCAAAATACTTCCCCTTTTTTGTAGTCATATCAAGTTCTAATTTGCAGTCTAGCAGCAGATTTTGATAAATTTTTGTTTTGTAAGATTGGAAATTGTTGCTATTTCTTTCTTAATTCTATCCCTTTCTTGATAAAAATGTTGTAGTATAGAAACAATAAGAGGCAGAAAGGCTTCCAATAATGTTCTATGAAGAACTCTTAAATCAAAGCTCTTAGAGAAAAAACTAATGAAATAATATTTATAATGAATAGTAGCAGCAAATTCCTCATGGGAATAGCTTGTGGCTTTAGTGTGAACAAAAATTATGGATTTTTTTCCTATGATAACAAAGAGAAAGAAAGTTAAGGAAAGGATATAATGGCTATAAATCTGAATTTAATGAAACTGAAACTGTTAGGAGGATGGTGAATGGAGAAGTGTCTTTAAGAGATCCAGCAAAGCAATTGTTGAAGAAAAATAAATAGAATTAAAACAGTATTAACTATAAGGTGACTAATTTTCAAAAGAACCTATCTACAGTCAGACTATATTACTTGAGTTTCACATATCATCTTAGGGTAAGCTGGGGCCCTGGCCTGGCTTTCTCATGTCAGTCTTCTACTAGCAAATTTAGGTCCAGACGGTACCCTACCCCCATATCAGGGCAGTTATAATTTGGGATAGATTCTGGGAACCTCTGTGATTCACTGGTACAAAGTTGTAGTGGATGTAGCCTCTTGAAGTATACAATTCACTCAAATAATTATACTTCATAAGTATTCCAACAGAGTCATTTTCCTAGAGTAGCAGTTCTCAAACTGTGGATCATGGACTCCAGGGAATCCCCATGACTCTTTTAGAGCATCTGAAAAGTCAAAAAGATTTTGTAATCATCATATTATTATTTTTCTCTCCTGTGCTGGCATTTGAACTGATGATGCAAAAGCAATGGTGGGTAAAACTGCTGGCTTATCAACAAGAAACAAGGCAGTGGCACCAAAATAATACAGGGGTGGGCAAAATAGGTTTACAGTTGTGAGGACACGAAACAGAGTTTATCCTTGTATTTTTATTTATTAATTATTGTATTTTTTCCCATAGGAACAATTGTAAACCAACTTTTGCCCCATCCTGTACTAGTCATTGTATTCTTCATCCCCACATATTGCAGTTTAAATAAATAGGCATGGCAATGTCACTGAAGAACGTTCACAATTAAGCGGTAAAAATTATTTTATTAAATCTCAGCCCTGAATACACATCTTTTTAATAGTCTTTGTAGGAAAAAGGGGAAATATATGTTTGCAATTTTATATAATGGAGTCCCAAAGTAATGGGGAGGTGCAATATATATTGCACTTCTGCTCTTTATCAGAGCACAGTGATGATCATCTCCAGGAAGTGGTCTTGAGTGATTTGGCTGTGAGTTGAACAGGCCACTTTTTTCATGGAACATGATTTTTCTTAAAAGAACAGCTGACAAACGAATTATTCAGACTTTTACACATTTTCTCAAAAATGAGTTAAGTGAGCCTGTCACTTCAGGAAAACAACTGTCTTCAGTATTGTTACTAATGACAAACTTTGCGCTTTTAAGAGAAAATTAGAATTTTGGAAAATGTGTATCCGTATCTGTATAACTCAATGAACCAATATTTTACAAATAATTATGTTATAAAATCATGCATGGGCAAAAGATTAACCCAAAGTATATTCAAAGTGCAAAACAGATCTATGGAATTTAACATAACAGTACAAATAATTCATTAATATGGTTTCAGCTTTCACATTGCAATTAACCTTTAAGAAATTACCATTTGTTGACATTTGGTGTGGTAGCAAAGAATATCCATAATTACAAATTTGAATTTCATATGTCATGAAATATTCTCTTTATTCTCCAACGATTAAAAAGAAAAAGAAATAACCACCACTTTTTAGTTGTGGGCTATAGAAAAACAGTCGGCTGACCGGATTTGGCACTCAGTGCTTAGTCTGCAGACACCTGATACCTCAAACAAAATAATATCTAACTGCCTGAATGCAGAAGCAAATATGAAAATCCAGCTGTCTTCTACTAAAATAGATATTAAAGAGATTTACAAAATGTAAAAACAATGCTATCCTTTTCATAATTTTTTCTTTTATTTTGGGGAATATAGTTATTTTTCTAAAATATGTATGCTAATATTTAGGGAGCTTATAATTGTAATTTTTAAAAAGCTGTAAAATTTTTAAAAATTTATCATTTTTAATTTCTAATAGGGCAACTATTGATAGATCTAAGTCACATAAACAGAAGTTCTTTAGGATCCACAATAATCTTTAAGAATGTAAAGGGGTTCTAAGACTAAAATATTTTTTAAAAAATTTAGTCTGTCTTTGAAAACCCCAAAATTATTTCTGGATGAATTAGCAGAATTACACATTGCTTCTTTCCCATTTCATATATAGAACAACAAATGGCAGTAGAAAAAGAGCAAATTACCTATGTTCTAGAAAATAACAGTCATGAGCATTAAGTCTGTAAATAAGCTATATCTCCTTCTACCAACCTGGCTCCCTATGAATATTCCAACAAAGAGCTTCAGGCCCGCCCACAAATGTTTGTCTACAGTCCGTATCCTCACGGAGGCAGGGGTATAGTTTTACTCTTACCTGATGCAGTGTTCCAACCTAGCCTCCTGCTGGAACACTGTGTCAACCCTGCCTCCCTCCTGAGGGTTCTGCTCTGCCCCTGACATCATCAGAGCATCAGGGCTGAAAAAGAAGAGCATGAGCCTAAATTATTTGTTAAAGTCAACCCCAAAAGGGCTTTATGCAAAAAGTATTTCCATGTATAAGAGTGTGCCTGGAATACACAACACTGTGTGATCATATTGACTGACATACTGTCAGGCTACATTTAAAAGTTAGCAACAAGTGCAAATTAAATGAGTGCAAACCATATTTTCTGTATTGCACTAGAAAATAAAAATGCTCTCAGAAGTCTCATCCTTCTAGCCTCGAAAGACTCTGAAAAGTCTGCAGATTCAATTCAGTGCAGTGTACCTGCCAAACCACCTTTCTCAAAGACCTTCAGGTTTTTAAAAAAATATATTTTATTGATTTTTTACAGAGAGGAAGGGAGAGGGATAGAGAGTCAGAAACATTGATGAGATAGAAACATCGACCAGCTGCCTCCTGCACACCCCCCACTGGGGATGTGCCTGCAACCAAGATACATGCCCTTGACCGGAATCGAACCTGGGACCTTTCAGTCCGCAGGCCGACGCTCTATCCACTGAGCCAAACCGGTTACGGCAAGACCTTCAGTTTTTACCTGGGCTTATCACCTACCCACCCTGGACTTCTGTTATTTTCTTAGTATTATATTCAACACACTAAAAAATTGTTTCAAAAATGACTTGTCAGCTATTATTAATCTTATAGAAATATATACTAGTACATACATTCCTGAAAGTCTTATGGTTTTAAACTTATTTTGTTTTCAAGTAGCAATACTTGTTGGAAAAATTCTTCAATCATAAAGATTCAAGGTTCTAATTTCACTTAATAGCTTCCTCAAAGCAAAAGTAAACTAT